TAGGTGTCTCGCAATCTCCAATACAAACAACCTGTGAGGTTCAATATGTGTCTATCCTCATTCAACGCGTCTATGTGTCCGGCACTCCAACATCACTCAACCCGTGGGGTTCCAGCAGCTATCCCCACGCAACCCGTCTATGTGTCTGGCAATCTCAAACCTCCCCTTTCCGTGGGGTTTCAGTATACAGCTATAATCACTCAACACGTCTATGTGTCCGGCAATCTCCTACATCACTCAACCTGTGAGGTTTTCGTAAGCAATCCTCACTCCACGCATCCATGCGTCACGCGTCTTTGGTAGCGCATACTATGGGGGCTATATTTGGGGTGGCGTGTTTCACAGCGCTTTGCCAACAGCACCAACCCACTGAAGTCTAGATTGCGAAGGGGGAAAAAACACCGGGGGGGGGGGCTTGTTTTACAACGTCGTTGCCAAGCGGCGAAAACTCAACCCCGATGGCAGGGGGGGGCACGTTCGCTATGCTGTCTCAAAGCAGGAGGGGTTTATCTGCATCAGGTTTCTCCTGGGCATCAAAAACAGCAGACATTCCGATGAAACCAAGATAAAGGGGAAAGGTGTGAAACGGATTCACGAACCTTTAACTTTTCATTGAGCTGCCGCTTAGTCCTGGCCTTCTGCAAACGCGCTTCTAGCTCCTTGAGCTCCCTGGCCTGCTCCTCCTCCTCTCTCTTCAGCCGCATGTTTTCGACCGCGATCTGAAACCATAGATCGAATGGAGAAAACGAAAGGCGATTGTAGAAACTAAGCCACCGTTGACTGGAGAACAATAAGTGGACCAGGAACATAGCCAAAGGGTGGGCGTAATTTGGAACAACTTTAGCAAGAACTTGACGAGGGCCTCACGGCGGGTGCTACCTTAGGAATGCTTGGCTTTGGCCACAACACTCAAACAGCACCTGGTCGAGCCTGGCTTTGGGTGTCGACCCCAGCTATTCCGTCATTTGCTTTATGCGCACTAAATTATCAAAACCAGGAAAGCAGCACCGCAACTACCCTCGCCCGTAGTGATGCGAAGACACACACACAAAAATTGATACTTGCCAGCAGATTACTGTAACCTTATTCGTCCAACCTCCTCCGCGACCCCCCCTGACGGGGGAGGCCCATGACTAGAAAGCATGGGCGCGTTTTTCATCCGGTGTACGCAACGCTGGCCAACTTTTCGTTCGTCAGCCAATCAGCGTGTTCGATGCTTCACAAAGAGAAACCGAACGCAGATCTCACGAAGCCAACTTCAGGACTACAAACCTCCCCCCCCCCAAATTGTATCCTCCTTAATTCAACCCGGCACTGTTGTCCTACCTCTTCCTCTGTCGGCTTCCCGGAAGCGCTACGCCCGACGTTCAGCGGCTTCAGCCCCAGCATGGCGCGCACACGGTTCGTCTCTTCCACAGACATGCTGCACACAACAACGACAACCGCCGACGGGCGTGTGAACCTCGTCAGGGTTAAGCTGCCAATAGAAACGTGGATCACTTGCTCAATTTCTACATCGCAAGGTTGCGATTCTGTTCCTTAAATCGTCAAACAGTGACGTGTTGGACGACCAACAGAACATCTGAGAGGATTCCCTTTGTTATTACAGCTGCTGTAGGGATAGGGGAATCAACAGGAACAGGAATATGCGAGAGTTGCGTACTTTACTTTTTACCGCGTCACCGTTGCTGCTGGGTGGCGGGAGGCAGCAGAAAACGCACCTGATCTCTCCCTTGTTTTCCTCCGTGTTGGGCTTGATCTTCTCCACGTCCACAACCTTGGGAGGCGATTCCGACCGGTTGCGGCCGTACCCCCCCCCACCGTCGTACTCCTCATCGTCGTCGTAGCCCATGTTGACCTTGTTGCGGGACTCCTGAAACGTTTGTTGGACATGCGCCGTGCGTCGTTGGGACACGAGTAGAAAATACGGCCCGTTCAGAATATTGGTAGACCGAAGGGAACAACTTTCGTTCCGCCCGAAGTGTAGGAAGTCTGACAGGGTCCATATACGGAGGCTGGGGATTGTCGCGAAAATAACTCAGGTTGGTTGTGACACATGGTTCAGCATGGCACACCCCAGCATATCAAATTGCAGGAGCCAATAACTCGGCAGCCTGTGAGGCCAAATCAGAAAATTGAGCCTCCGTCCAAGAAATAGCGCCTCGTCTTCGCTGGGGTCGGGTACCATGGATGCATACATGGGTACGACCACTATTGTTCGGCTTGGGAAGGCCAGCTTCGACCGCATGTGCTACGGAGGTATTTATCTCTCTCTTGACACCAAAGGTGTGCGATTGCTCTTTAAAGATCGGTTGCTCCAAAGCCAACAGGCTGCCAATCCCGACAACTGCTTTGTGGTTTCGGAAACATCCAGTCGAGAGCTTTCCGTGGCACGGGTCGGTCGGCTTCTTGGTTGCACCCTCTTCCAAACCGATCTTCTTTTTTTTATTTTTTTGATATGACACAACGAATCCATCTTTATCTATAAAAAGGGGTCTCAGATAGACTAGAAACGAAGTAATAGCGTGAGCGGAAGCTACGACACCTGTCTTTCTGCGATTTCCCGCGCAGCATACAGCGATATCTCCCCCGTGGGTACGCACCAAAAACCTCGATACAACGTAGCACACCTGTGCGTTCCCCCGCCTTCTACGGGTGCAGCTACCAGTCTAGGCAGCGGTCTCGCGGTTGGTTCGGGAAACAACCGCGGTGCAAAAAGCCGGACAACTTCTTGGAACGGCGGTGCTTTGTGAAGGTGCTACGTACCTACCGCTGCGGCTTGCTATTCGACCAAGGGACGCTTCGTCGTTCTTCAGAACCTTCCCGCAAACAGTCAAGTTTCTAGCTGCTGGGGTTGTACCCTGGTCTGCCGGTTGCGCGGCCAAGAAAACATGCAACATGTAACATGTAACATACGCACGCCAACAGGCCGAATCAAGTGTACGCAGGTTGCTGCCGACGGAGCGCCTAGGACACCCTGAGCAGCGCTCTCGCGATATGTTGTAGTCCACCGTAGGCTCGCGGCTCACCGGATGCGGGGAGCACCGATGTGGAGCAGTGAGAGATGCCGGGACTTGTGTACGCTACGATGGCGGTGCGGTGCTGCATTGCACCATCAATCAATCATTAACATGCTAACGAGGCGAACAACATCGGCTGCTCCGACCGCGTCTACTGCAAACGCAAAGCAACGCCAGAGTTTGAACCCACCATTGCCAACATCAGCGGCGATACCGACTTGTGTCGGGGACGGCAGTGTAATCTATTAATAATATTAATAGAACACGCAGCGCAGCGGGTGCTTGGAGTGCAACTTCTGTAGTCTGGATGCCAGGCGTGCCATACCTTTCTTTTGCTGCTCCCGCCCTCTCGGTCCTTCGCTCCATGATCACGGCTACTGGCGCGGTCATGCCTCCCGTGCTTTCGGCTACTGTCCCTGTCCCTGTCCCTGTCCCTGTCTCTCCCGCCCCTGTCGTCGTCCTTGTTGCCGCGATCCCTCCCGCCGTACCCTCGCTCCCCACGCCCGCCTCCATCCCGCTCTCTGCTGCTACCGCGCTCATCTCGGCTGCTGTAGCGATCCTTGTCACCTCTGCCCATCGTTTCCAACTAGATGCGATCGAGATCACAGCGACAGTATGGTTGTGCTGTTGCTCTCCCCCTTGCCGTGCGATGCTTCGTCCAGGCTCTGCACTGCGCAGCGGGCCGCGAGCGTTCCTTCTACTGTGCCCCGAGACATACCGACGGTATTTACATGCACGGTGCCCCTGCCTATTTGATGGCTGGTGATCGGCGCCGCCGCACACCACCGGGGCTGTTTCCACCGTCCTCTATCTTCAGCCATGAAGACCCTGTTATCCACGCGCTATGTGACCATCCCCGAGGGTGTCACCGTCGATGTGAAGTCCCGCGTCGTGACCGTCACGGGACCCCGGGGAGAGCTGGTGCAGAGCTTCAAGCACCTCAACCTCGACTTGCAAAAGTCGGGCAAGAACAAGCTGCGCGTGGACCTCTGGTTCGGCAACCGCAAGCAGGTTCGCGCGCGTGTGGGTGTGTGTGTGTGTGGAGTTGGGGGTATTGCCATGGGATTACCGCCTTCTTTACCTAGCACTCCCGCTACGACCGGGTGGGTGCTGTTTGTGATTGCTGCGTCAAACTCTCTCTTGGTTGTGGGAGTTTTGAACGGATGCACCACTGGGTTGCGAGAGGCGAGGAGGGAGCGATAGCAATGGGCGAGGATTGATGGGCCGCCGGCGTTGCGCACACGTTCGCCCCATCCTCTCAATTTTGACCGGAACTATGATTGCTGGAAAAATGGTAGTCCTACCTGACCACTGCTGTTTTGTGTGGGCGCGTGTGCACAAGGACTGCTGCTGCGGCTGCTGTTTTCCTCTTTCGGACGAAAAACGTAAGCCCCCCTCTTTTCTTCCGTATCTGGGATATGTATGCAGCGCGTCAAGAGATCCGCAAGGATTGGTAGCGGTGAAACCATGTGCAGCATGCCCTGATCTTGTGTACGGTCGCGCGTCGCTATAATATCGTAGAAAAATCATAGTGGTACAGCAGTCCATGACAGCCGAAACTCATTCGATGGAGAAAATGTCGCCATCGCTGTGTAGGTGTACTACTCCGCGTGCCCTCATGTCACCAGTCGTTATGTATGTCGATGTACTACTGTGTCGATGTGCTGGTTACCCAGACAGGCTGCGTCAAGGGTCGAGAGCCTCGCGAGGGCTACTGCTACGGTTGTGAAAACCTACTAAGCTCTTCTCTCGTTTCGCTAGAGGGAAATATCAAGTAATACTCTTGAGCGGATGCTCTTTTTTTCGCCAAAGTCGGCACTCCCCACTGCCCAAGTGCAGTCTCCAAACCGACCTTTGCTTGGACAGCAAACAAGCGCCGCCCGCCCAGTGACTCCGCATGTTCCAATTGGTCCACGAAATCGTTTCTCTTTGGCACGGACAGACCCAAATACCTGGAAAATATCTATCGCAGCTTACTTGGCGGTGAACCAACGCTTTTGAATGCCGCCCAGTCATCAACCATGACCAACGCATCGTGGATGTTCTCGCTGCCATCGAGATGATTCGTTGCGTTGATGCCGCAGAGTGCGAGCAGAGGGTGATGCATGCAAACAAAGCTCTCGCCGTTCTCGTCGTTGTCAATCCGTGGGTCCAGCCATGAAAGTCTGTCTTAGGGGGGGGGGGGGGTTGCG